TTTGAAAAGGGAGAATATCTTTTTTTTTAACAGAGTGCAAAAAGAAGCCTTCAGTTCTGTTGGGGAAAAATAAAAATTTCCCACAATTGGGGGTGTTACACTTCCCGGTCGGGTCACGACTGATTATCACGCAACATCAGTTTAAAATACACATTTATTAAAGACCTAGAATTCTTCAAAATAAAAGCTGATGTCAAATGTTGAAGTATCGAAGTAAAAATTTAGAGCCTCTTCTCTCACAGACCGTGACAAATGTTATTCATATACGATCCAAGATCGTATATCAATAGCATCTCATTCTGATATGTATGAACTACTTTCTAATTACATTTCTGAAGGATTAAATAAAAGGGTGGTGGAGAAATGGGTTTCAAAATAAATTGAAAAAAACAAATTTTCTGTGATTAGCTACAGCCGCTATATGGTGTTTCACATTTTAATCCCATAGGGATTGTGCTAAAAACTTTTTTCAATCAAATTAGAAATTAGTTGTAGACACCAGAGATTAAATCGTATCGGATTTCGTTGGTTCGAGTTGTCCTAGTTCCTTCTAATCAGAAGTAGACGAAAGATTAGAACTTCCTTCTCGGATAATTAGGATTTCACACTGAAGTCGATATTGATGTAAATGAATATTGTTTAATACACTTGTGGATTAAAATAAAGTTTTTAATATTAATGCATAAATATCAGCAGGTTCTTTTTTTAGTGTTGATACATAATCTCACACGGCTTACAGATGATTATTCATCACACTACAAAAAAAAATGGAAAGATTTAAAAGAAAAGAACAGAAAACAATGATGTAGTATAGAAGTAATTCATCGTCATAAATACAATTAGTATAACTATTGTGAAGTGAAAAAAAAATGCTACATTATATGGGAAATTAAATTAAGGATGTCAGTCGATCAATCAAAGCTCGTTTTATTTTTCCCGACCACATTAAATACACATAAAGTATTTTTTTTTGGTCTTCTAATAAGCATGTCTATCGAAATTATGAGATTCAAATCTACATGTTCAATTAAATGTATAGAATTCAAATATATAATTGTAGTAATATTTAATATGAATATATTTTTATAAAAAAGCTATATTTTATATAAGCATTTAGTTATGATTGAAAGATTAATTTTTCAATGTTTATATCTTTTACATATATCTATATAAATTCTTTTTGATCGATTTAATCAAAACAAATATCTTAACAACATTTTTGAATATTTAAATGAATTTTAATTTTTGCATCATTCAATGTTCTATTCTATTCTATTCTATTCTTTTTTTTTATGCGCATAAAAGGCAAATAATACATCTGATGCCCCGCGTTTTATTTTATTCGAAACTATTCTATTATTTTCTTTAGTATGATATGTGGGCGTTAAACATATGCGACATATATAATTATTCTAAATGTTATCGAAATATTCATTCATGGGTCTATTTCGACGTGTAAGACCACTATTATCAACATCATCTGATAATACAAAACGACGTATTCTTCTACTTTCTTCATTACGTTTGGGTAGTGGTAATGCAGCAACAGCTTCACGAATAGCCTATGAATTACAAACATCAACAAAATTTATTGTTGATTGTATATCTGTTGATACACCACATACAGAATCTGATACATTATCAACATCTATTTATCGATATTCAGCTGTACTTGCTTTACATGCTTATAGAGCTGGTCATATTTTAACATCAATATATAAAGATAATGAACAAAATAATCTTCCACCATTAATACTTATTTTTGCTGGTACAGATTTACATTCATGTGAATCAAAATGGATATCAACACTTGAATATATTATTCCACGTGCAAGTGGTCTTGTTTGTTTTAATTATGAATGGAAAAAATATGTTGAAACAATATATAAAGATTATATTAAATGTAAAATAATTGTTATACCACAAAGTGTTCTTTTATCACCATTTATTTTTGAACAATTACCAATATTAATTAATAAAAAAATAATTATTTGGATAGGTGAAATTCGTCCTGTTAAAGATCCAATATTTGCTATTGAATTTTTATCATATTTAAATAATAATGATTATCATCTTGTTCTTGTTGGTTATGATAGTGATCAAATATTAAGTGAATATATACGTTCATCATATTCACAATTAAATCTTACATTAATTGGTGGTCAATCTCAAAGTTTTGTTCATACATTAATGAAAACATCATTTGCTTATATTAATACATCAATTAATGAAGGAATGTGTTTAGCTATGCTTGAAGCAATGACACTTGGTATACCAATACTTGCACGTCGTAATACAGGCAATACAAGTATAGTTAAACATCGAAAAACAGGTTTTCTATTTGATACACCTAATGAAGCTGCTCAATATCTTATAGAACTTGATAATAGTATCGAATTACGAAATGAATTAATTCGACAAGCAGAAAAATATGTTAAAAAATATCATAATATTACTAATGAAACAAAAGCTTATCGAAATTTACTTATTAATTTAATAAAATAAAGAAAGAAAACATGAAATTAATGACTATTTGATGATGTGATAACAAAACTATCAAGAATCGAACATAGTAATAAATAGAATGAAACTTTGTGACAAACATCATTTTGCAGATAATATTTAATAGATTACTTATAAAGAAGTATTCAACTAATATTGAAAAAAATTCGAATATTCTATAATGATTGTTTTCATATGATAGATAAAATTCAATGGAAAAATAAAAATCTAAGGTCACAAGTGCCGTCTTTAGAACTGAAGATGATCGTACTTAATTAGAAAAGGTCGAAAATCTCAAACTGCTGTTTGTAAAATATTATATTAAACTGAATTATTATGATTAATTGTTTACCATTTAATGAGTTTAACCGTAAGAAGGAAAGTTTACTTTCTTTTTAGCTATAAATAGTGGGCATCTTTGAAAATATTCAAATGTAATATAGTCAATGTTGATAGAGAATGGATTTGATTACATTAGTTGTAGTTTATATTCTTTCTTACTTCTTATTGAGTCTACATTTATTTATATTTGTTGAATTATATATTACACTCTTGGTATTTACTAACGATATCACATTCATTCATCATTACCATTTTAACTAATATACCCTTGAGTCTTTATTCATCGACACCATTCTCTCGTACGATTTTTATGATTTATCACTTCATTGTAATACCTATAAGTGCATTCTATGGCGTCTCAAGAGAGTCGATCCATGGTTTTGTTGCAACAATTAAATCTCGTATTCTTGGAGTGAGAAGGAAGTCATTAGTAGCAGCAGTGAAAAAAAATTGATTATATGTTACTTCAACAATCTTGAGTACTGAAAATAGTCATAGGAGGAAGAAGAAAATCTATTCTACGTATTATAGAAGAGAGTAACTACCATTTTTTTAGTTTATGCTTTACCGAAGAAGGGCTTAATTACAAAGTGCAGTTTTATATAGGATCAAGAAGATACAATTTATAATATCAAAAATCGTGACAAATAGAGAAATTAGTTTTTTCTCGTTTAAAAAAACCTGATCATGAATCCATATTTAGCTATATCGGATGAAGATTTATATTTGAATGAAACTGTTACTATCTTTCTGAACTATTTTCTAACGTTTAAATGGAATATATTGCATCGGAAAAAAAAGAATGTATTTCTTTCTTGTTTGAGGATATTGTCGAGAATGAGATTTAGTAATATTCTTGACCATGAATTAATTAAATAAAAGAATTGATTTGATGAATCATTATTAGATAAAAAAATATCATGAAAACTTTCTCAAAAATTATTTAATACTTTGTTTAGTGGAATAAAGAAATTCATTTAAATCTATTTCTTATTCGTCTTTTTTTCCTATGTTTATTTTCTGCATTTTGATTTCATATTTCTTGTTGATAAAAAGAAACAAGCAACAACAACGTCCAACCCATTTATATATTAAACAGGAATAGATAAATCTATTTGATTTGTAAAAACTAGTCAGTGTCCTATGAAAATTCTAATAGTTTCATTCGATTGAAAGCGATATTTTAGTTCGATATGATATTTATTAAACAACTATCTCCTCTACAAAATTACCAAGTTTAGTAGTTTTTATTAACCTTTGAAAAAGAACTTATGGAATTAGCTGAACCAATTTTTCAATACTTTGAAAGGTTCTCTTTCTCTCTGCTTTCGAATACAAATAGGCGCAATATGGCTAAGATCATCTTCAAAAAGGCTATTAAATTCTGATCCTAAACTGATAGTTTTTCACTAGTCTGACCTATTTTCAAGCAGATTAAAACTAAACAAAATATTGTCCAGAAGTTTCGATCCATCATTCCGTGTAGACTATTTTTTTTTGTAAACCATTACATAAAATTTTTGAGTCCGTATTCGGAAAAAGCATGAGATTCTGGTCCCAATTTCATTCTATTTTATCCGTCCAGGACACTTTCAAATAGCTTAACAATCAACAAAACTTTTATTCAGAAACTTTCGCACTAGCCATCATTCGGATTTTACAAAAGAAAAACAATACAGACAAGATTTCGATTTGAATATCAAAATTATTATGCTAGTAGAGAATTTTTCTTACATAAAACATCTTTTAATCTCTTGTTCATTTTTCATCTTACTATTTGATGGATTTACGAGCAGTATTTACTGGATGTTATATATAAAAAAATAGATAATAAATATGCGAAAAGTTCTAACTTAGCTAATTCATTATTTCTTCAGACTTGCTGATTGATCTCCAAAAGAATCAATTTGATTTTTCTTTAATATTTGGATTTGAAATTTATCATTAATTAAATAAACCTATATAATATTATGTAAAAAAAACAAACTTTCATTTATCAAATATGAACAAGAAAAATAATTTAAAACTAAAGATAATCTTGAAATGGATCAATGTCTTTATATAAAAAAAAAGAACGGCAACAATCAATTTATCATTCATCTTAAATAAAAAATATACACTAAGCTATCATCATTAACATGAATTGATCTAATTTTTTAATTATCATGAGGACGAGATTTTGTATTTGAAAATCGAATTGATTGTTGTCGTTGATGTGATGATGGTATTATAGCATTAGCAATGTGTAATAGAGCCATTCGAGGAGATGAATAAACGCTGAATGAATTAGTACTTGATTGTTGTCTCTACAAGCAATATGAATAATATTCATAAAAAAAAACAAAAGACTAATTCTTTTTTTTTTCTTCTTTATTTACTCGATTTGAATCCATTGGTGTTTTAGGATAAGGAGTCACGTTTTGTTTTGATGATAATTTTGTTGATTTGATTGGATCATGAGATGGTTCCTGTGGGATTTTTTTTTTTGTTGAACAGAGAAATATAATTGAATAGTAGTCAATGGAATACTTACTTGGTCAGGAAGTATAGCAAATTTATTCATATGAACATACTCGTTTTGTTTCGGAGAATACTATGTAAAAATAAAATACAATGATTTATAAAAATAACAAGTATATACTTACAAATGGTCGGTTGAAACATAAATTATGCCCATTCGAATTCATTAAATAACTATCACTACCATAAACAGGTCTTTGTTGTTCGAAATTCCTATAGATATAAAAGAATTATATATGTATAGAATTATAATCAGAAGAATACTGTTTTTCTTTTTTTTTACAAATGTAAATGTTGGAATATGCAGCGAGAATGTTTAATTCATCTTTTTTAGATAGAGATGGACAAGTCAACGATTTTTTTGGACTCAAATTAAATCGAAGCAAAATATGAGTGTGCGGTTGTCACACCTATACGCTTTTTTTTTATTTGACTTGTCCATCTCTGTTTTTTGACTTACAGATTCTCATAAATAGACATGTCAGTTAAGCACTAGGATATTTATCATATAATTCTTTTCTGTATGTATTGTGTTAGATAATGATTCGTAGTTTCTTCTCAACATAAGTCATCCAAATTGCAAAAACTTTTCCATTGTCGAAAAAAATAGATTCTTTGTTCTTTTGTTTTTGCATTTCAATCTCACTAGAAAGCAAACAATTTAAAAATCTTTTTTTTTTACAAAAAATAACAATCCTAATTTTTCAACTATGCAACTCTAAGATAGAATCTTTTCTAATTCTTTAAATAAAAGCATTCTTTCGATTTGATTCACACGACTAATATATATCATTATACCTACCATGGATATTTCTGATTTAGTTGTTGTTCAAAATTACGACTAGTTTTATTTGTTGTTGAAACTAATTATATGAATATGATATTCACTTTATATATCTATATATTTATATAATACTCAGTTACTAACCTGTTGAATCATTATCAACTTGATCTATTAAATCTGACACTATTTGATATTTCTAGAAAATCATAAAAAAATTTAATATAATAAAATCAGCTTTTTTTTTTGTTATTTCAATAATTACACTTTGTCTTGAAGATGTTCGTTGAGGTATAGGTGTTGTGTCTACAGGTGAATGATAATCAACTGTCCGATTACGAAGAAAATCTCGATTAATTTCCCGAGGCTATATAAAGAAAATTGAAGCTCGATCAAAATACAAAAAAATTCTATAAATAAATATTCTAACTGTATGTCGTTGTTCTTGTACATCATTATTTATTTTTTGACTAGGCATAAAAGCCATTGATGATCGATAGATGTTCGATTCTGATGTTTGTTTTTGATCTAAACTAAATCGTGTGAATTTTTTATCCATATCTTTCAATGATGTTTGTAAAATATTTCTTGAATGTTGTTGTTTAGGTCTTAATAAAATTCCATTTGAAGCATAATTTAATGTAGGAGATGTCGATAATTGTTGTTCACATAATGTTTCTTGTCGTGTTAAAGATTGTATTGATGAATAATTTTTAAGATATTGATTTCGTAATAAAATATTTTTTACATTATCATCATTATCATCAATTATAATATCTGAACTTCTTGGACTAAAAATAGAAAATTGATTTAATTGTTCATTATTTGATTCTGTTCGTATGATTTTTGGTTGATGACGATAGAATGTTGATGATCGATCGGTTAATTGTGTATTACTATGATATTTTATTTGTTGATTAATAGAAGATGAAACAGCAGATGAAATATCAGTTAAATTATCAATACTTCTATTATTTATATTTAATAGTGAAGATCGACGTTGAAGTTGAATTTCATTATTTTCATCATTCCTTTAAAAAAAAAATCAAAAGTTAAAAATTTTTTCATTGTTTTAAATTTACAATTTGCTAAATGGAATAGTACAATCAATTATTTCATTGTTATGATCAATTTCATATTGAGACGTATTAATTGAACCATAATCAGTTTTTCTAAATTTATTAAATATTAAAATCAATAAATATTCTATTATACAAATGTGTCATAGGCAAAATTGAATTTTAGATTAAAAAAAAAAACTTAAAGCAGATTACACTTAAACATAACCATGTATAGTATTCATTTTCATCATTTATGTTCTAATTTATGTACGAATGACTTCTTCTGCGTCAACATAAAAAAAATTATGTTCGAAAGTATTTCTTTATGAACAAGCAGAACTATCATGTTCATTTTTTTGAACATCAAATTTTCAGAGAAGATATTTTCTATTCTACCGCAGGAAATACATAAAGTCATTTTTTCGAACATTTATTTGTTCGAGCTTTTGACTCAGTAGACTCAGAATATCAAGCTCTATCGACTGATATAAATCCCAAGTAAAACGACACTCAGAATGGGTCAGAGCATATTTTAATAATATCCATTATGAAGGAATCAACACCGACCGTGTCAGACATAATTATGAGATCAAAGTTCACTGTAGGATTAGTAAGATAGTTATCCTTTACTTTCTTTTCACGCTCACTACAATATGTTGCAATTAATATTTTTCATCATCGGTATACATTAACAGTAGATAGAAATTCATAAACCGAAATTTATATTGATAAATCTCTTCTTTTAAACTATCAGTAGTTTCATCATGTTTTACATTTTAATCTCGCAAGGATCGAGCTAACTGCTTATTTTTTGGTTTCTGAATCTTTTAAAAACTGTTTAATTTTGCCTAAAACTCAACTTTGCATGACACATATGTATTATATACGGTTGATGATATTGTTGTTGAAAAGATTTTTGATTTAAATTTAGAAAAGCTTCATGTTGAATACATTTTTCAACTGTTAAACGATCAGTAGCATATAAATGTAAAGTATTCTTGTAATGAAGAAAAGAAACGGTTAAATGAATATTATTATATAAGAATATTGGGTTTTTTTTTTTTACTTTAAATAAATGCATAATATCCGATGGAAATAAATGCTCAAAACGTTGTTCTAATGTATCTAAATGATGAATAGGCGGAAACTAAAATTCACAATTTAGATTTTTATTTTTGTTTTTTAAATTAAGAATAAAATTTTTTGAAAATACTTTTAAGCCTTGAAATTTTGGATTTGTATTCATTGTTAACATATATTTTGCTGGTAATGTTCCTAAGCATTTTTGAATACGATATAATTGATCAATATCACTTTCACCAGCTTTAAATATATTTCATAGAAATAAAAAGAAAGAAAAGAAAAAGAAAAAATGTTTACCGAACAATGCTTGACCAGTCTTCAGTTCAGCCATGATACCTGAAAGAAATCAACAGTTTTCTTTTTAGAAGATACAACAAAAACAAAGAAAAGAATTACATACATCCACATGCCCATACATCAACTGGTTTTCCATATGGTGAACTGAAAATAGAAATTAAGTATTATAAATGTTTTCTTTTTTTTGTAAGATCAATATTGTGCTACAGCTCAGAGTATAATTCTGATTAAACGACTTAGTTCATTTAGATATTAAAAAGAAAGAAGATTCATACAATCTTGCCAAATCTTTTTTCAATCAAAACTCACTAACGAAGGAATATTCCTAACTGTCTCATCGCTTTTTATTTTAGACTAACACTATTCGATCAATTATGATGAATATTAAAAAAAACAATCGGTTTTGGTTTAGTTTTCCAATCTTCGTGTGATAAGTTGTGAGTGTTGTACTCGATTTCTGCCCTACTAGCATAGGATCATTGAGAACATGGATGATCTAATTTCGAGCTGGAATTATGCTCATAGATAGATCTTATAATCACTACAAATATCCCAAACTTTGAGTCCAAACGATCATATTTCTGCTACGGCATTTACATTTTAAAGAAACAACGATTTGTGGCTGTGTCTTACAAAAAACGATGTTCCTCTGACAAACTAATATCTCGATACGGATCACCTAGGTTCTCAGTGATTCAATGCTCATAGAACAAAAATCGAATAAAACACTTGTAACTCAACAAATGAAGATCGAAAAACCAAATCAAAACTTATTTTTCACTATATATTATAAACGATCGAATGGCAATAGTCTTAAGCGAAAATCAATTACATAGTTGGAAACTTTTCCAATGTTCATGAATTTGTCCATTGTTCTCTTTGATTATAATTTCATCATTACCCGACAAGTAATTCAGGTGATCGATACCATCGTGTTGCAACCTTAAATTACAATAGAATAGAAAAACAAAATATCAAAAAAAAAACAAATTTCTTACATAATCAGTATAATAATCAGCCATTGTTTTTGTATTACAAAATCTTGCAAAACCAAAATCACATAATTTTAAAATAAAATTTTTTGATATAAGTAAATTTTCTGGTTTAATATCACGATGAATTATTTCATGTATATGACACCAATGAATAGCACTAAATAATTGATATGATAATCGACGTACTTGTTCTAATGGTAGACCTTCAGGATTTTCTTGTAAAACTTGTAACATATTCTAACAAGAGAAATTTTAGATCGTAACAAGAAAAAAAAATCGCTTTTTTTGTTTTTCTTGACTAACCCATTCGACATATTCGAATACAAGACAACATCGTTTCTTATCACGAAACCATTCAATTAATTCAACAATATTTTCAACTCGAAGTGATTGAAGAATTTTTAATTCACGATCAATAACATCAGCATCAGTATGATATCCTTGGAAAGTAAAAAATTATGATAAATTTTTATAGAATATCAATGAAATATCAAACCAGGAGCTTGTTTAAAATATTTTATAGCAACAAGTGTATTTGAATCCTAAATTGAAAAAGAAAATCGTTTCATTTTTTTTTTTTCTATTATGAAAACATACTTTTTTTCGAGCTTTAAGAACAATGCCGTATACACCTTATAAAAAAAAAATACAAAATTAAAAGATTAAAAAAAAAAGTTTACAAAATCTACCTTCACCAATAAGACCGAGTATTTCATATTTGTCTTTAATCTTTCGTGGTATGTATTTCATTATCGATCACTTCTTTTTTTTATCAAATACAGTTACGAAAAAAAAAAAAAAAAAGAAAAGAAATTTCATACAGAATTCTTATAAGTAATCGATCGATGTGTTTGTGTATCTTTCTGTACGACTATTAACAGTCTGAAGCCTATAATTGTGATGATGCCGATGGCAGCATGATCGTCTTTTTTGTTTGTTTTATTTGCTTGCTTTGTTATGTCTTTTTTTTTGACATTTTCTATTCTTGTTTTTTTTTTCTTTTCAACTATTTTTTTTTTAAATTTTTATTGAATCAATAACTATGACGATAAATATATGAGAAGGAACTAAGTCAAACACATAATAAGCCGAAGAAATATTGTTCAATTCGTCAAGAAATTCTAAACCAATCACGAAGTATGAATTATTATTTTAATATTATACAATCACGATTTTGTATTTGATAAATAATCTACGTGTAAAAAGTCTTTACACAATATGTCGGCTCGACTTTCATTCACTTATAAGTCATCGAAGAGAATCAAAAGTAATCAATGAGCATCAGAAGTTGTCTTTGTTTGTATCATTCGTAATGTCTTTGGATGAGATTTTGAGATAGTTTTGATTTTTCAGTAATCTTTGTTCTACAAAAGTGCTGTATAAATACACACTTGGTCTATATGAAAAAATTTTGTATAGTCGTTATTTCTTTTTTTTTTGGTCTTTCTCTAAGGTTTACTTCGAATGAATTTATTTGAAATCAGATAAAAATTTTAAATGCATAGTTAGAACGAATGTGAAATTCTGATTTTAGTTAATTATTTTCGATTCTCTCCACTGACTTATAAGTGAACAAAAATTGTGCAGCATGTTCAAAGACTTTTTACATACAGATTAACAGTATATGCTTAGCATTTGTTATAAAATTTAGTTTATGATAGATTCTACTTTTATAATAATCGAATCATGATTTAGAATTTTTAATTGTATATAAACGACTGTTTTATTTTGATTCTTTCACGATTTAAAATGTGTTCATTATAGGAAATGATTAAATATGAAATAATATTTCATTTTTTAATATTTTCTAGATTTTTTTCATCAATAATGATGTCCTTGAAATTTTTTTTGTATATGTTTTTAGTTTAGAAACCATTAAAAACAGTCCATAAAGCTTCTTTTGAAATCATCTCGTTCTCATCATCGATTTTTGTTTACATATTAATAATGTTTTTTTGGTATTCAAATTTACGTCATAAGACTTGTTGCTATAGAAATGAAAAGATGATGATGAGATCAAGATGATCTAAGAAGAGGTTTGATGTATTGCTTTTATAAATGTTTTGAGAAGAATGGATTTATGAGAGTATGGGTTAAGAGGAAACCCATACCCATACACGGTATCTGTAGTCTATATATTCGCTTTCCGAATTTTTTTAACGAGCCTCAAAATACTTCATACCTATAAAATATATTACTAATTGAAAGTTTCAGCTGGTATGAAATCGAAGTACTTATATTTTTATTTTGAACACCTACTTTAATTCAAGAAAAAAAAATCAATCGTCTATATTTGTTCGTCATTGATTAACCAACGGATGGCAATTCTATCAAATCAACACTTTTTTTCTATTCGAACAACTGAACTTGTAATCATTTTTGCAGAATAATTACTTACTTGTTTTCCTCTCCACAGTCCGTTAATCTATAATCTTTGAAAATAAAGTTAAAATTAATAACGATTATTATTAGCTTAATCTTATTGAAGTAAGAGCAGTTTTTTTTACATTATTCACATGAAGATATGCTTAATTGACGTATAATATCTCGTTGAATGTAATAGAAATCGAACAACTTACTTGCTTGTAAAATTAAATCAAGGTTTCGGGAATTGTAAAGAATACAATACATTTCTGAATGCGAGTATGGATAATGCCAGAGACATGTATATCGCTACTTGTTGTTCACTTCCATTCTCATCCTCTCGTTCTGTATATATTTAATCGTTTTGAATTCTGAAACTGACCAAAACATTTTTGTTCTATTTATCAATTGAAATGGTTTACCTGTAATGTGTCGTAATAATCAAGTATTAACAAGAAAAAAACATCATAGAAGTAGAAGATTGATAGAAGTGGAAACATGAAGAAATATCTATGCATGATGTTGATTTTCTTGTATTTTTGTTTCTTCATCTATTAATGATCATTGTTACAAAAAAGTTTTAATTGCTTTTTTATGAATGGTGAAAATAGAAATTTAAGTTGATGTTTCTGACTATAATATGAAGATATATACGTATCTAGTGAATCTCAATTTCAATGAATGAAAATGAATTGTGATATAGTCAGAATGACTGGAGGATATGCATTTTTTTTTCTACTGATCCAAGTTAATGGAATTCAACATGCCGAATATGCTAAATGTTCGAGGTTTTGACATATTCTGCCGTTATTACAAAATTCACGCATAAAATACTATTATTTGAATTCAAGGAATCAGAAAATGATCAAAGAAACAAATTTATTGTCACTAGAGAGTATAGAATCCATCTGTAAGATTTAATTATGTGAAAGAATAGTTAATACTTTTTTGGATTTATGTTTTTTCTTTCTTTGGCATTTAATAATAATCTATTTTCATTTCCTTTCTATAATGTTTAAAACTCTTGACAAACAATATTCATCGTACAGATAATATTGAAAAAAATCTACTTATCCATGTCATTGATTTCTAATATATGTTTTCGATTTTTATTCATTTACATTGACTCAAACATTGAACACACAATAAACAACAATATAAAAACTCTGCAGTCATTGCACAACATTCTAAACATGCTAAACAGAAGTGACAGCAACTGTCAGAATCATCTCTTTCGACAAAAGTTGCAGTTGTTTTAGTATCATTTTGATAAGATGTTGGTTGAGTAGGATCATCCGACGGAACTCCAAATGGATTAGTGGATGAATCAGTCAGTTGCACCATTGAATAAGATTGCGACAATAGGAGAGATATATCTAATTTGCCTGAACTCATTTTTCGGTTGTTGATATAAAGATTGTGTGTATCTTCTCAATTATTCTATATATGTGCATGACGTTCTTTGACGTTATGTGTTTATTTATCTTTATCAACAAGTATCAAAGGTAAATTTGAAAAAATGGTTTCAATGCCAGCAAGTATGATTCATTTATGCACATCAACGAGAAGGTGAGACATTCGTTGAGAGAAGACTTACCCACATCCTCATCCTCAGGAGTCAACAAATTGTGCTTGTGAATGCCTTTCTCGGTAGGCATCACCATTCAAATACATCCACTCAAATTCGTCTTTTCTTCGTTAAGAAAAACGACTTCAACGATAACTTTCGAGCAACTATCGGTGCTGAATTCGTTACTTCTCCTCTCTCTAAATCAAAATTTCTCATCTACATCTATTCATTGGTAGATCACTCATCAGCTTGAGCTCGACAGGAAACAATGAAACTGCATGCATATCATAACAAATCTTAGGACTTTTGTTATGAGCACCTTTGTCGTACGATTTTAGTACGATGAACCTCGTCAAGTGATTTCTAGAGTAGGCCCGCCGCAATCTGAATGGTTGTTTCACTCAGCCAATCAGATTGCAGCAGGTTCGTTCTCTCTTATAGTTAGGGCACATCGTAAGATTGTCTTTGCCAATCAAGGGTTTTATCAATACTACCTGCTATGTGACAAAGACAACCCTACGGGATTCACTGATTATCAAAGAAAAACCCTCTTGAAATTTGATTGGTTGAAAGAAACAACCAATCAGATTATAGAAAGCATGTTCTCTCTGATAATTAAGGTTGGGACATGAGGTTGTATTTTCGAAATGATAGATCGTATTGACAAACCCTCTGGTTGCCAGAGACAACCCTATGATGTACTGTGATTATAAGCGAATGATTTCAAGTAGTTTCAAATTGATTTCTGCTATTGAAATCAATTTGTTCTCCGTTGAGCATTAGTATTGATAGTATGCCAAGAAAAATTCAACTCGAATATTTCGAGAAACAAATTATAGATTCGTATTCCTTTACTCCGAACACCTTTGATCAAACTTTATAGAGAAATCGTTATTTTCGAAAAATAGTCTGTTCCAGACGAAAAAAATCCAACTCGAAAATTCGCAGAAACTAATTTTAAATCCTTGATTTTTTCGTCTTGAACAAGCTATTTTTCAAAAATAACGATTTCTCTATAAAGTTTAATCGAAGGTGTTCGGGGTAAAGGAATATGAATATATGATTGGTTTCTTGAAATTTTCGAATTTGATTTTTCTTGACATACTGTCCATAACAAATACCACTACCGACCAATACCTACCACTGTCAATACTTGCCAATATCAAATGGTATTGGTATTGTTGCATCCCTGAATCATACTTAATTAGGAATGATTAGGGAGTGATTAGGGCGATTATCGGCTTCCTAATCAGCTGTTTTCTCCATGCATTTAGGGCTACAAAAGAAAACAACATAATAATTTTTTCAATAAATATTCCCTATATAAAACTAAAATTTTCAAGATTTCCTATAACAAATCTTTGATTTATTTTCTTCTTCGTGACACTGTTTATTTCTCATTATCATGAATAAAGAAAACACAATGTATACATAAATAAAATAAATAGAAAAAGAAAAGAAAATAATAAATAGATTTCCTATCAAAAATTACATCCATCATTTTCATCTAAATAAATTTCATATACTTCTCGACTACATTTTCCATTTGAAGTCAAAATATGTTGATAGAACGTTCCATTAAAGCTTACTACAACAACACGTTGCAGGTCTGAAAATGCGCATATACATGGTTGTTCATTATTGACGCTAAAATTACATAAATCACCATAAATTTCATTTAATGCATATTGAAATGTAGCCTTTCGATTTAATTTTGGATCACGAACACTATATACATGTACAGTACCCGTATCACTTGATACACATAAAAAATCTGAATTACAATTAAATGCAAGACTATAAATATCAGCTGTATCTGAACCACGTTGAAATTCAAAAATTTTTTCACATAATCCTGTTGTTAAAAATATACGTATAAGAGTGCCCTATTAAAAATTCAAAAATATAAAAAAAATCTTTTTATTATTTTATTAAACTTACCCGTTTAGAAGCAGTAGCTAATAGATTACTAGTAGAACTGAGAGTGATTGCTGCTAATTCACTTTTATGAGCTTGAATTATACGTGGATTATGAGACATTTCATTTTCAAATTCATCCATATTCTAATTAAATAAAATTTAGTGTTGAAATTCCTATTTTGATAATCTTGGAATTACGTAAATATTAATAAAACGAAAGGTTAAATTTCGAAACAATAAAAAAAACTAAAAGACTACTTTTATCAGTCATATATATATATATATGGCTTATTGCTCGTTAGTTTAATCGAAACTATAGAATTGGTTCACAAGTATATTCAATCAACTTATGTTACAATCAAAAATAATTATTCTATTTTAATGTAATCATTGAATTTTGAAATCATGTAATGAAAGTCTCTACTATCTGAGAATATAAGTCCATAGATGAGAACGATGGAAAAAAGCATGTTCTTGAACCTATTTGAAAACAGTATTAACATGTTATTTATTGGTCTTTATTCTCATTTCAATACTATCATTTACACTGATTAAAAAAAAAAACTTAATCTTGAAAACGGAATCACTCGTTGGATGTCTATAGAGATATGCAAGACCCAAAAATAAACATTTACCGGAACTAAAATTATGAGAGAAAAAAGTTATTTGAACTAGAACTCAAGATTTTAACGAAATTTTCTATGGTTTTTAACGAATTATGTTATAATTCATAGTAATCGAAGCAAAATTTCGAAGAGATGACCAAAAAAAATGATATTGTTCGGCTAAGTGAAGGTTTCTCCTCTTCAAAAAGTCGATTTTCGTCAAAAAATGATTTTTTTTAAGGAGTTTTTTTTTCTTTAAAGATTCTGGCGCTGGCTGTAGTAACTATAAATACCATTGGCATATCATGTTTGTATTTTTCTCAAAATTGATTTTATGCTGATGATCAAACTCCGAACAAATTTTTTTCAAGTATACTTCATTATAGAGAGTTGCGGTTTTTTTGTTTATTGGGGCATTTGATGCTTCTTTGGATTAGGAGAAGAGATTTTTTAAATAGGCTCTAGGTCTATAGAAAATCTCTAATAGCTATTCAAGATTTTACAAGTTTCAACGCCACCATAAGTTAAAGAGAGTAACAATAAAAAATCCTTTCTTCTCATCCGAAGGGGCAAACAGTTCTCTTTCAAAAAAAAAAACACTTCTCACTTCTACATCTTGAATTATAGTGAAAAATATTTGTATAGATCGAGGGTCCATTTTGGGTCTTGATATCTAGAAAACTACTGAATGCTGGAGTTTGCAGAGGTAATCAAAGTTCTTAAGTTTACTTTTATGGATCCAACATTTGTGAAACGTTCTAGAGAGATTCCGTGCGCTATATCGAAAATCGATTTTGAAGATGGAAGAAGCCTTCATCAAAACATGAGTATTTAAGGATGTTCTCCTCTATTTTTGGCCATTTCTAGTTCTCAACGAGAGTACAACCGATCTGTATGAAATTTTTACTACAGAAAGAGCACCTAAAATAAGGAGATCCATGTTCGAGGGAAAAAAGTTGTAAACGAGGTTTCCACAGTTTTTCGAGAAAATTCTAGTTTTCCATAGGACTCTCGTCTAATTTTGTCCAATCAAGCTGAAAATTTTTTTGAGATACCTTAGACTATATCTCAGGAGTGATTTAAGCTTCTTTTTTATGAGAGAAATACATAAAGTTTTAGATCCAGAATCGGGTTGCTGGTGTTCAAGACTTCATAAGTCGAAATATGAAAATTATCAACGAAAAAGGCTGATTTCATCTCTGGAGAATATTTCCAAGTGTCTGTGGTAAAAATTTCATGCAGATCAGTTGTACCCTCTTCGAGAACCAGAATTTGTCAAAAAAGAGGGAGGTATCATTAATACATTTTTTTTTTAGATCTAATACAAATAAATTCTGAAATAGTTTTTTCTTTGTCGTGGCCAAAATCAGGGCTAAAACTAAAAATCTTCGTCCTGCACATCTCTAGATGTATAATGTGAGTTTAACCTATCAGTATATAAAATATCTATTTCAATAATATCCGGTAATTTTTATGATCGAATGCAAAATGATATATATATATATAGTATTTGTCCGCAAAAGTGCTAAAAAAGAAGAGAACATAGAAAGTGTTTATAGGTTGTAAAAAAGAAGGATATGAACAAGATAATGTTAAAATTTTATGTTTTCGATTTCAAATAACAATATCATTCATGACCAAAGTAGTATCGATATCGATTAAGAATAAGTTTAGAATTATTCACCCTCATATAAAGAATCATATAAGTCACATCGATTCAAATAAAAAAAAAAACAAGAGAATTTTACAATCGTCGAATATCTTTTATAATCAACTTTTTTTCAATTGGCAAGAAAAAAAAAGAAGAAATGTACTCAATCAAGATTACTATGAACACTTATTCATCATTTTCTAATCATCCAATATATGTCGTATGCATACTTCAATTTTCCCATAACTTTGAAAAAATTTTTTTTTTAATAACAACTAAATAGTCTACGCCAAGTGGAAAATTACTGGTTCTCTTTCATCTGTCTGAAGAACATACTTAATCATTCAGCATAGTGAAAAAAAAAACTATGAACAAGACTACTTTTTTTTTTCTCATTCGACCAATACGTTTTTTTAACCAATCACCTTTTTTTTTTTTCTTGTCTGTTTTTTTTTTCTTATCATCGAACGAGAGAAAGTATAACAATACATTTGATCATATTACTCGAGTATGTGAAAGGCGAGAATTTGTGTCTATATATCATCATCATCATCATCATCATCTCCGTTCTCTCTAAATATGATGAAATCGAGCACACCAAGCTCCTCTTATCATCATTCAGCATACGATTATCATCATCATCATCATAATTTTTCTGCAACATCATCCAATGTTTATCCATCTTATTATCCAAATCATTATATATCTCAATCCAATATTTCAACAAAAATTGAGAATGATGATTCATCAAATTCAACATTAACATCATCACCTACAACAAATAATACTCTTCTACAAAATCCAATTATTCTTAAATTACCAAATAATAATAATAATAATAATAATAATAATAGTATTGAACAAACAATAACTTTAACAATTGATCATTTAGCTTGTGTATGCGAAGCTATTCAACAAAGTGGTAAAATTGATAAATTAATTAAACTTTTACAATTATTACCATTAAAATCTTCATCACCTGATGCTGTATTAATACATCAACATGATAGTATATTAAAAGCACGTGCAATTATTTATTATCATCAATCAAAATTTCGTGAATTATATTATTTATTAGAATCACATACATTTGATAGTCATCATCATTCAGAATTACAACAATTATGGTATAAAGCACATTATATGGAAGCACAAAAAATACGTGGTCGTCCATTAGGTGCTGTTGATAAATATCGTATAAGACGAAAATATCCATTACCAAAATCTATATGGGATGGTGAAGAAACAATTTATTGTTTTAAAGAAAAATCACGACAAGCATTAAAAGAATGTTATAGACAAAATCGTTATCCAACACCAAATGAAAAACGTTTATTAGCAAAAAAAACTGGTTTAACATTAACACAAGTTAGTAATTGGTTTAAAAATCGACGACAAAGAGATCGTACACCACGAACGTAAGTTATGCCCTTTTCAAAATAAGAGAAGTAAAAAAGAAAAATTGCCACTTATCTCGAACATTATCCGTCTTATATATCTAATAGTCATGGCACATTTACAACCTAACCACTTTTCACTTAATGAAATATTGAAAATGTCAATTGTTTTCTTTTTAATTATTAGTCAAGATCTTCAAACATCATTATTGAATCAAGCTGCATATTTTGCTGCTGGTTCTGTATATTCTCATGGTTTATTTGCAACGACACCATCATCATCAATAAATACTTCACTACCAACGAACAATTCAACATTTATTCATCATTAATCAACAAAAAAAGAACGAACCAAACAACACTTTTTTTTTCTTTTTCGGTCTTTCTAGTCTGTTAATAAAAAAGAAAGAAATTATTGGTCAATGGAAGTTTTTTTTGTTTTGTTTGATAAGTAATGAATTTAATTAATTTTCATCACTGAAAACTGAGTATAAACGTGCGCATCAGATTAGCATATGGTAGAATGATGATAAAAAAAAGCAATTTTTTTTAGTTCTATAAAAGTAGTGATGCACTAATGATCATCTAGAATGTTTCCTATAACATATAATCATTTGCCAATTATGTTATTTCATCCGTGGCGCATCTGGTTACCTTCTTTCTTTCCCAGCTACCTGCTGTATTTTGTCATTAGAATACAAAACAGAAAGATGACACGCGTATTATAAATAAAAAACCATGTCATATAATTGATAATCATAATGTGCACAAAAAAAAAAATTGAATTTGTCGTCTTTTTTCACTAATCACAAAAGTATACAGAATCAAGCAAGTTATTTGATGCCGTCATTATCATACAGAAAGAAAAATCTGTCTCTTTCGTTATTCTTTTTTCTTTTTTTTTTTTAAATGAATATTAGCATTAAAAAGTATGTGTGCGCTATATGACACTTATGCACACATACATTAAAAGTCAGTCTGTACACGCGTATGATACAAAAGTATACTCATGTCAATCAACTTCAAATAAGATGTGTACATTTTTGTTTGTTTGAAGGAAATAAAAGAAGAGAATAGACTTTTATCGATTATCTAATTTAAGATTAATTGTTTTTTCAGTTTTAATATAAATGACATTTCTATTCATGATAATAATTTCTGTACTATAATAATATTCTAAATAGGGATTTGAAATCTGATAGAATATTCTGACGTACTTCAAAGCATATGTGGGAGAAGAGAAAAAAAAAGTCGCATTAGTCTAAGACTCTATTTCTCTATTCTATTTATAAATCATTAAATTAGATATGCTCATTGCACAAAGGTTGATGCGTACAACAAATAATTTCAAGCTTTATTCGATGCTACACATATCGAAAATAAACATCGATTTTTTCATTATACTATTCTGAAAAAATTAGAACAAATGTCAGCAATATAAAACTTTCAATGGATTCATCAACAATTTATAATACATTTTTTGCTATGCTTACTAATATTTGAATAAGACCGCCTGTAGGTCTTGCATTCGAAGGAAAAACAATCAATGATCCATTATTATTCGATAATTCACAAAGACCTGAGATAATAAACATAGATATTTTTTAATTAATAAAAATCAATTATTATAAAATAAACCTCTCGGATTTGCTCTTGTATGAATTGTATGTAAAAGTCGACATTTAGAAGGGAAAGAAAAAATATGTATTTTGTCCACAAGTATTACTAAAAGTCTGTGTAACAAAAAAAAAAACCAAAACATAAACTAAAGAAAAGAAATATATTAGTGTCCAATCTCGGATCGACTAACATATTAAATTACAACAAAAATTAACTATACCACATGAAATTGTATTTTCAAAAAAGGGTATATGTAGGTATGAATGTACTTGTTCTCTTCGCTCTACTGCTGCATTCGCAATCGAGATATGAATTAACTTCTTTTTTTTTTTTTACTATTTCGAAGTTTGCTAGGCAAATCTGAGATTGAACGCTAACATATATTATATATTTTAAACCTTGTTCGTGACATTCGTATAGAAATAACCGATGAATTAAAGCTAAGTTCAAGTACATGTGCTTTACGTTGATTATCATAGATATTAACTAAAATATATTTTAATTTGAAAATAATAATAATAATAATAATAATAAATATTTTTCTTCTTACCAACATGTGATGGTAATCCAGTGGCATGTTCTGCTGGTACATAAGCAATTAAATTCGTACGATAAAGCATTTCAGCATAAGTAGTAGGACCAACATCTAAATATAAATTGCAAATAATAATTAAGAGAAAGTTATTTATAACGTTTATTACCTAGATAACATTTTTGAGTAAGTGGTTCAACATTAAAAATATGAATACCATTATATGTTGTACAAATAAAACAACCTAATAAATTATTTTTAATATTTCACTGTTTATTTAGGTTATGACTTGTAAATGTTCTAGTAAAATACTAAGAATTTTTGATTTATCATTCGCTAAGTAGTCAATGAGTACTAGTTTTTATTTTTAGGAGAAGCTTACGAGAGAGCCATTCGAAATGATTTATCAATTTTAAGCCTTTAGAGAAGACTTTCTAGATAAGAATGATTTGAATCCATAGATCTTTTGTACAGCAGCTACAAGAATTTTAAAAGATTTTTACCATAGAACAGAGTATTGACAAGAAAATTGAACAGAGAACTTTTGATCTAAAATGTTTGCCAATAAATAAATTTTATGATCCTACGAAAATTGTAAAAATTTCAATAAAAATGGCAACTTTCTTCTTAAAATATTCAACGTTCAAAAATCAATTAGATTTTCGATATTGAATATTTTATAGAAGAAAGCAGCCATTTTGAATGAAACTTTTCGGATATTTTAAGATCATGAGATCTATTTATTAAAAAGAATATTCCAGTTCAACCATTCATTGTTCAAGTTTTACTTCCAATATCCTATCCTACGATATGCATCCAGCAAAGCTATCGTAACTCTACAGAACAGACTTCTAGATTTGAATTCTGTTGAGTTTATTTTAGTCTTACTAACGAGAAAAGTCCTCCAACTGATAACTTGCGTTTGAATCGAAAGTATGTGCATTATATGAACCCAAATAAATGAATGCTTTAGTTCTTCTCAGACATAGCAGGAAACACTTTTTCGAATTTTGACTTGAAACAAGTCTTAACGAGATTAGTTTAGCGTGTCCTTTACATCATTCTTATAAACCGACGGATTCGATATTCTTATTTCAGAATAGCAGTAAATCAAAAGATCTGTTTCAAGTCGAAATCTGAAACAGAGTTTTCCTAGTGTCCCTGAGGGAGATCACAATATTCATAGCTCATTTGAATCTACATAATGCACATAGTCTTAATTCAAAAGCGGTTAGTCGGTTAAAAAATTTTCTTCTTGATTCTAGAAACAGCCATAATATGGAATAATGGTAAATTGTAATCGAAATATTTTAATATACTTATAAAAATAGAATAATGAATGTGATATTCCGCTTGCATAAACATAAAGACAATCAATTCAAGTGACTCGTTTTTCTGTATCATATTAACAGTAGAAATTATAGAAGAAAAACTAAAAAGAATATTATTGTTTTTTTCATTTCGATATTTTTTTATTACTTCGATATGCACATAATATTAAGAAAACTTTCTATATCACATACTTGAATCTTGATTGAAACGTAAACTAAATACGTGAACTGTTTTATTTGTACCTCTGTTAGATGACATCAGATATCTGAAAAAAAATCATGTATTTTTCATTTTCATTTATAATCACACTACAATATAAAAATCGACAAGTTGAACAATTTCAACAAACATAACAGATATGAAAATAGATGGATAAATATTCAAAAAATAAAAAAGATTATTATTAAATGTACCGAGTTGTATTCAATAAAAAAATTCATGAATTACGAGTTGTAAATGTATAATCACATGCATTTTCTTTTGACCAATCTATGTCAGATAATACAATATCAACGGTACCTAAAACATGATTACCAACATTTAAAACATTATTCCAAATGCCTACATGTAGAATACGTCTAAATACAAAAAAAAAATAATACAAACATATTTCTATTTGATAATATTTTTTTTCATGCAATGTATACTTTTGAATTTCAGCTAAATCCATTTCGTATGTGAACTAAAAATTAAACAAAAAATGAAATTAATTTATTGAATATAAATTAATTCATACTGTATCATTAAATATTGGATTACGTGAATTAGCAAGTTTTCCTTTTCGTTTTGTTAATTTAGATTCATCAGGAAATAAATAACATTTACAATATGGTTTTGGTTCATTACCATTTATTAATGGCTAAATCAAAAAAAGAAAAAAGATAACTTATAAAATATGATTATGCGAAATTTATTTACCAAATTATTAGCATGACGAGCCATAACAAAAAGTTTTCTATTATCATATGTTAATTGTATACGAATTTTTGATGGATTATTTGTTGATGAAATCTGTGAAGAACGAGGAGCGAGTCCTTGATAAAAATAAAAATAAAAATGATTGAAATCGAAATACTTTCTATGTATATATGATTAAGATATTATTCACCTTCGTTAGATTTTTCTTTTGCATCATTGATTTGTTGATCTCGTTGAGTTGTATGAAAAAATGTACAAACAAGATCAGACTATAATAACAAAAGTAAATATTCTTAGAGAAGTAGTCTATTCAAAATTTTCATGTGGTGAGAATAAGAATATCTCTCTTGATTTTTAGTTATTCAAAAATTATAAACACTACATCTCAAAATTACAAAAACAAGATATTTTTGATTTTTTTCTACAGTGATGTCAAGCATCTCACTGAAAGTCAAATAATGATTTTAACAGTCAATGAAGTTCTCTATTAGATGTATTGTAGATCAAGGTTCTATAGTGGACTATGTAAGACATTTTTCTAAAAACTGAATATGGTAGGTCGCTTTTAACATTACCATATGGAAGAGCGAAAAATTCTGTACAAAATGATGGGTTACTGCGTTTTCTAAGACTTTCTCTTAAAAAGTTACAAGTAGTATAAAAAAATAAAACAATGAAAAGTCTAAAATCACTGACTATTTTTTGTGTTGCTGGTAACTTTGTAAGGGAGGGTCATAAAAACCGCAGTCACCCTTTATTTTGTTCAAAATTTTATGCTCTGTTAAATGGTACTGCTAAAAGCAAACTACCATATTCAGTTTTTTTTTAGCAAACTTTCCCCCCATAGTTCAATACAAAACTTTGATCTATAATACATCTGATAGAGAACTTGATTGACTATCAAAATCACTATTTGCCTTTTGATTAGGTACTTGACATTACAACAAAAAGAAATTAAAAATACTTTGTTCTTGTAATTTTGGGAAGTAATATAGTCATAATGAATCACCGATATTTATTAGAAATTGACATAATTAAAATTTTGGAACAGTATACCAGAATATTTAGCAATCTATGAAGGAATTTCAAACCATTTGCAACATCTTTGAAATTATGTATATATGTGTTTTTTTTTAGACATGCCAAAACGTTTACTATCGATTTTAAAAAGTTTTTAAAGCGATCATATTTGTCAAAGTTTAGTGGAGTTTCGTGAAATCATTGAATGTTGAATTCAGTCAAAAATTCTAGATTTTATATAACTCAATAATCAATCTTCTCAATAGTTGATTATTGTTGCTCTTAACATTTCAAACAATGAGAAATAAGTTAGAATCTTATTTTTGTGAAAGACAAGCTAAAAGAAGTGTTGAAGTATACAGTTAAAAATTTGGACAACATCTCGTTATAATATATGAACTAGTTCCTTATTGCATTTTCAAAATAGATAGAATAAAACAATCTCGTATCACAGATGGAACCAGTCTAGGTAGATCAGACGAGTTGATGTACTATTCTATTTGTGGATAGTAATATTCGATGTAATCAACTTTCAACAGAATTTCATTATACATCTCCTATGAGATAATAAGAGTAAAAGAATAAATACGACGCACCAGTAACTGGCATTGGTTCCATCTCTGTCTCACAATGATTAACAATAGCAACTAATATATTATATTTCACATTTTAATTCCGTTAGGATTGTTCTAACAACTTTTTTTGTGTTTAGTTCAACTCTTTAAATTGAACCTGCAAAAAGATCTTCTAAAATTTATTTTCATCTTTAACATATTCTCAGAATTATTAACATTGTGTAACAACTTTCGCAATCATTTGATATATATGTTTATTTTCTATTTTCAAATCTTTGAACAAATTTATATATTTTTCACAAAATTTTATAATGATATTATTTTCTAAAAATTTCAAAACTTTTTTTTATTAATTTACCTCAGTAATTTCACTTGTTAAATGAAATAAATTTTCAAGAAATTCATTAATATCTCTGAGATGTCTTTGAGCAATGATATTATCTTCTGTTTGTTCAGAAAATTTCAAATCAAGACCAATTAATGGAAATTGTTTATTTAAACGTTCATAAAATTCATAAAATTCATTGTATGTACGATAATTATATGTTGTATTTAAACGTACAACTTTTAATTCATATAAATAATATTTTGAAGATTTTATTCGTTTTTCATAATTAACAACTTGTACAAATAAAATTTTTCCATCTGTAGATACTGTATATGTTTTTGGTACAAATGATAATATCGTATCTTTAGATGTTAGACCTAATGAATTATTTGAATTTGTTGGTTGTGCAATTTTATGTATTAAACCATTCAATGTTGTCCATGTAGAATTAAGACTATCAACAATAAGTTCAGTAAAATGTGTTATACTTTCAGCATAATTTAATGATGGTGCTAAACGATCATAAACAAATCGAACAGCATCATAAGTAAGATTAGGTACATTTGATGAACATAAATGTGAAAGAAGAATTAAAAGTAGAGAAGAATTTTGACGTAATATACAAAATGCATTACAACATAAATCAACAAAACGATGCATTGCATCATTAGATGTACCACCATCAGACATTGCATATAACATTTGTTTTGTAAATATAAATGGAGCACGATCACTAGAAATGAATAGTATAGTTTTAAATAAAATCAAATAATAAATGTTTACATTGATTTTTTTTTGTTATAAATAAATATTGATAGATTTAAATTTTATTTTCTATTCAATATTTTTGACATGTTTATGAGATTGAAGAGTTTAGATCAAAAAATAAAACGTTTAGTTTTTCTCTTTAGATTGTTATTTAATACTTGAATAATTCTTTTGAAAACTTTATATTTTAAATACAATTTTATATGTAATTAATTAATGACGATAGGTTTAAAATATTCTGAATATCTATATTAGTATTGTTAAAACAAGAAAACTTACCGATTAAACCAACCAAATTTTTGTCTATCACCCAGATATTTTCCAAAATCAATATGAAATAAATGTCCAGATTTTTTCACCATAATATTTTCATTATGTCGATCACCAATACCTAATATATATGTTGCTACACAATAACCAGCACATGAATATGTTAAATTATCTAAAGCTATTCGAAAATCTCTTTCATTTGCATTATGTGAACTTAACCAATCGTATAAAGCTGATTCACCAAATGAACCTTTGATTGTTCCTAAAGGTTTTTCAATTTCAAGTAATGTTTCACTTTCTGTAATCATTTCAATAAAACCACAACGTTCTTGTGTTTGTACAACATTAAATAAACTTAAACGAAAATCAATATCATTCGATTTCCATATTTTATCCATACAAGTTAATAATTGTAAAACAATTTGATCTTGCTATAAACAAATAAATTAAGAATAAAATCTTATTCAAAACAAAAACTTACACGTAGATCATCTCCAATTTTATAAATTGAATAATATTTTTCAGATAATAAATCTATAGAATTAAAAACAAGTTTCATTGGACATGTTAATGAATGAAATATTGAACAAGATTTAATATCAATATTATTTGTTATAAAACTAAATTGACATGGTAAACGACATGAACGTTGATTTGATTGAAAAACTTCCATATTTAATTTTTTTAATTCTTCAATTAAATAATATCCTTTATTTAATGTATTATTTTTTAATTCTAAACCAATATTTTTTAAATTTATACATAAATTATATTCATTTTCTAATTCAATATAAAAATATTCTTCAATAATATAAAGTAATGACATAAATATATAATAATAACGTATAAAATGAATATTTTCTGTTAAAAGTAATTGTCTTAAATACCAATATAATTTATGTGCTAAATAATAATCATTTATACATTGTTGAAGTAAATATTCTATTATTAGTGATGAATAATAATAATCAAATTTAATTATTTGTAAAATTTGTGGTAAATAAATCATAAGTTCATATGATGTTATATGTAATATTAATGATCGATAAGCACATGAACGTATATACATATCAGGAAAAGCAGGTAAAAGAAGTTCAAATGATTCAATTGCATCTATTTTACGATGATGATTTATTTCATTGACAAGACTATAGATATCAATTAAACTTGGATAATCCCAAACAGAACGAGATCTAAGTAATTTTGGTAATGCATATGGTTTATGAATAAGAAAATCACGATTTGACCATAGAAAGTGACTTTCATTGGTAAATTCATAATCTAAAATTATCATATACAATATAAATACAAGAAAGTAGTTAAATTTTTTTTTCAAGGTTTTTTATCGAGATGTCTTAAAACTATTTAATTTTTGATTTTTGTATATTCAAGATTGAAAGATCTTAATGACAAAAGTACATTTGTTAGCATACTTTCGTATCTTTCATTTTTTTATAGAGACTTTGCAGCTTTTTCCGTAATTCCATATCTCGAAAAAACTAATGAGATAACCTATGGAAATGTCTACTTCCAATTTCAATGGCTTCTTTTTTTTGTTTATAGATACTATATAGTATCTTAGTGGAAATTCTAAAAAGATTGTAGCTGCTGTTATTAATCATAAAGAGATTGTTTTATTCTACATATCTATCTTGGAAAACATTTCTTCGCCATTCTTTTTATTTAATCCTCGAGAAATGCAATAAGAAAGTAGTTCATTGAAATGCGATCTTTGATCTTATATCAACAATGTCTATCATGGTCTGTGACGGAAATCCAAATTTCTACTCCAATACTGAAACACTCATTTTAGATCATTTTTCACAACACTTCGCAAGGCGTAATAGAAAGCCATGGATTTCCGAAATCTCTTTTTTTGGAAAATCCAGTGGAAGTTGGTGGATTTTAGCAGCTAAAAATCTGTTTTTTTTGTAATTAAAATTACATTTTATACTATAGAAAAAGGCCTGGTTTTGCGGCAGTTAATTGCTAATAAAGTCTATTTGAATATCAGAAAAGTTTTTCAACAATCTTTGATTTTGTAGGTTAATGTTAGCAAAAAACGTGGTCCACAATAAAAGACCGCTTTCGGACGAGCGATGTAAATTTTCATAATACAAGGCCATGAGTTTTTATTATCGAGGGAGGGTGGAATGGTGTATGTCTATTCGTCAGAGATCTCTATAACACTCAAGGTTTTCGTAATATTCGTGTTTTTTTTAATTTTGTATTGAAACTATTACATCTTTGTGAAGCTCTCATATACAACAGGCTATATGAAGATTTTCAGAATTTGTAAACTTCGTATTCTCAAGATACGAGCTTTACAAAATATATTTGTTCTATTCGCTACACTTTGAAAAAAAATTACTTTTGAAAAGATCATAGTTCGAAAATGTGGAATCTTCAAACTCTGAAACTCTTTATAGAAGCTACTGTATGTGAGAAATCTTCATCTGAAAATACTTTCAAGACTAAAGATTGCATAGCTCTACCAAGTTTCATTATAAACTCAAATCTTTTTAGGGTCTTTACTAAGATATTACATAGTGTATATACGCAAAAAAAAATCATTGAAATCATAATGGAGCATTTGGAAAGGTTTTTTTTCATACGTAAAAGACTCAATCATTTTTATTTTAATCATATGTTTTGTTCAACATACCTGTACCGGATATTTTTGGTGATAATTGTTGCTTTCGGTTATCCATAGAAGACTCATTTGTTATCATTATACTATGATCATTTAATAATAAACTTGGTCGATCAAGTAATCGACATAAATATTCTTGTTTATCTCGAGTAATTTCAGTGAAATTTTTAGCACACATATCCTTTCTAGCTTGAATATTTGGTAAAAAAAATGATTGATGAGGAATTGTTATAGTTAATATTGAACAATCACGATCCAAAATATTTCTCAATGAATAAAAACCTGTTGGAATTGTTGTTGCAGCATCAAATATACCTAAATAATATTCACCACTAATAAGATTATGTTCATGATCAAATAATGCTTGTGAACACCAACCAATAAGACGCATTGAAATTCCATCGAATACTTCACTAACTAATGAAGATAATGATGAATCAGTATCATCAATAAAACTAGCATAAATTTCAAATAAAAGTAATGCTTCACGTTGTAATCCACATAGATATATATCATTAAATATAAGTCGTTGATCAAAATGAATTTGTGATGAACTATCTGAATAACTATGACGTACAAATGACATTAATTTTGTCATTTGTTTTGCTTTTATTTCATTTCCATAACAAAGATGAACAACAACACGAATTGTTTTGATGTTTGATGGTAAAGAAAAAAGACTATCGATATGAACACTAAAGAGTTTTGATGATTCAATTATGGAACGTGGATTAGGAGTTGTTATTGTCGACTATACAAAAACAAAAAAAAGACAAAAATAATGAAATTAATTGTTCATTCGAGTTTCGAATATCAAGTACGAATATGAACAGATAATGTAAATTCTTTTCAAGTATATTATAGAATTTCGCTAAATGAATGAAATTAATTTCTGTTACAAATTCACCAATCTATAAGTTACTGATTATCTTCTATGTTTGCTCTATTCTATCAAATACTAGTCTAGTAATTCTAACGATATCAATTATACTTGAACAAGAATATGTTGAAAATTTTCCATGGGATAGACATAAACTAAATAGATCAATCCGATTTTGTCAGGTCAATATCATTATTTAACAAAGATTCGTGAGCTAATTCAAAAATTGACTTCACATTTTCATTCCTATCAATTTATTCAATATGTGATGCGTCGCATCGAAAAAAGTGCTTTGAGAGTCATCTTTTTTTTTTTTGCATATTTTTCAAGTAATCAGGTGAAATCAGTATAGTCGTAAACAAGGAGGAAAATGTGCGATGCACTTTTGTCCTCTTCACCATAAACGACCATACCTCGAGAGATACGGCGGTTTACCTGTTTTAACATTACAATTACATATCTCTGTGTTGTCTACAAAGAATTACGATAACTTATGACGATTAAAATACTCACGTACTATCTTAGCAGAAAACAAAAAAACAACAAATGGCCATCATTTATTGTTGATGATTTAGCTGTGCTTATAAAAAACAAGAACAGCATTTTCAGGAGATGAGAGAAAGTGTTAAAACTCTCGTAAATTTTTTTTTCTCCGATCTATCCATCAAGATAATGTCTAGTAATATAAAACTGAGTACTTGTTACACTCAATACTATTACTTTCGTCATCAAATATACATTGTTTAAACCTCTGTCTATGATGTTCTATCAATTAGTATGAATTCAATACAATTTAAATCATTATTTCTTTCTCTATACACAGATTCTTACTGACGAAATGTTATCGTTCATGTCTTTCTTTTTGAACATTCCGTCCATCATATAAATAACGTGTACTCAAATTCTTTTAAAAAGTAATAGATAATCTTATTCATACTTAAGGTCGATGATTATCATTACAAATTGCACTGAACTAATTTTATTTAGTGAAAAAAGAGAATGTGGGTACAACTCTTCTCTTTATCCACGCTGACATCCATACCCTAACATTAATCATGTGCTAATGACATCTTCATAAATATTTTTTCGAACGGATACTTCTCAACAATTCTATTTTTTAACTTTTGAATTTTTTCGATCAAACAACTATGAAAATTTTTTCATCCGTAGAGCTCATTACGCTGATAGTTTTGGTGAAAAAAAAAGTGCTCAATTTTACTCAATAAATTATGGTACTAGGGTCAAATGCTCGAACACATCAACTATCACTCAGCAACAGTCAGAAATAGGAAAAGTTTTTGAATATTTTGGTTCTAGCATCATGATTTATTGCATAAATTTGAATATTTTCTTTTGCTAAAATGATCAATGCAACGAGCTCTACAAAGTTTGGTAGACGAAAAAATAACCTTCTGATAGCCTTGTGTTTTTTGCGATTGACTATCCATAGAAGCATACATCAAAAATACGATTCGCAAACATTTTATCGTTGGTAGAAAGTTTAGAGAATCATACATATGTATCTACTTATTAATTTTTTCATATTTTTTTCAATCTATATTCTTTATTCTAAAAAATATTGAGATCACTTATTTTGCGAGAGATTTTATCATTCGTCTACTTCTGCTAAATCATAAAATCAAGAAAATGTTCATTTGTCTTTTTGATTTTTTTTCTTTACCAGAGATTTAACTTGTTCAATATCAATTGATTTATTTTCATCATTATAAATTTCTACGTCATAAGGAATTAAAAATGCTTGACAATATGCTTGAATATATTTTATAAGTGCAAGAAGTAAATCATAGAGTAATTGTATTAAATTTTCAGAAATTTGTGAATTTAATACTTCTTCATTTTCATTTTGTGATTGTTTTATTAATTGTATAGTATAAAATTTTAATTCATGTTGTGTATCAATAAATGATGATGATTGAATATCTGAACATATATTTTGAACTTTTTTACAATAACCTATTAATTCTTGATTTAATTTTATTTGTTTATTTATTGATAATATAGATGAATTTGGATTAATTAAATTATTAAAACATTGTTCAATTTGTTCGAATATTAAATTAATATTTTGACGAAATTCTTCTAACCATCGAGGATTTGATGATAGAAATGAACGAGTTTGATCTAAAGATATTTTTTGTCTATTTTTATTTAATGATTTTGTAGATTCCAATAATCTATATATAATAATTAAATGTAAATTCTATTTAAAAAAAAAACAATTGTACAAACATACTTTGTTTGTTTCATTGTTTGAAAATATTTTTCACTTTGATTTAAACAAAATTGTTCAAAACTTATATTATCTTGTTTCGGTTGAAATATACAAATTGGTTTTTTAACTAATACAAATTGAAGTTGTTTCAATGAATTAATACAATTATAAACATATTCAATATCACATAGAATATCATCATGACGTAAATATTCTTCACATGAACGTAATTTGAGTATTGATTGATTATAATCAAATGTAATTTTTTCAAATAATTGATATAAAATATTTGCAACTGTAGATTGTAAACTTATATTTGGTAAACGTATTGGTTCTGTTAAACTATCAGTAAATATATATAATGTAACAGGTAATTGATTTTGTTCGATATGTTGAGAAGTTAAATGTTGAACATGTTTACAATAAAATATTCCATCTGTTGATGTCTAAAATTTTAAAATAAAGTTTTCCTCATACACAACAATTTCATCGTAGAAGACATTTTAGAGGCTATTTATATTAGCTCCAATGATACAAGAAATTTTTTTGAATGTGGATGTAGCAAATTTTTCTATCGTGATCCCACACATATCTACTCACAACTGATTAATCGTTTTTTAATCAAGACTATGTCCATTATGTAGTCGCTAATGTGCTATGAATATTCCGAGAGGAGTTCGGACCATTAGTTTATTGTTGCCGAGATATAGATTTCATGTTCTTATTTCAGTATAGAAGTAAATCAAAAGATCTGAAACTTTCACAATAAACTATTTTCGTTGCGAGCTACTGTTGTGTAAAGATTCAAGTCGATATTTGAAAACGAATTTCCTAGTGTTTCTGAAGGAAACCGTAAGGCTAAAGACCCGAACTATTTGCAAAGTATTCATAGCTCATTAAGTTCTACATGATGCAGTACATAGTCTAGACTCAACAGCAATTAATCAGTTGAGGGACTTCCCTCGTTATATTTAGTTCTAGAACTGCGGAAACATTTTTCTCGAATAATATAGTTATTAGAATCGTTTGTTTTCAACGTACTGATAAAGGCGTGAAAGTTATCTACTAATGATTCATTTAATGCATGGTAGCAAAGATTTATTGATACTATGAAGGAAAAAAATTTGTTGTGAACATTATTATTCGATTCTCTGAATGGGTGGATGTGGGTAGGTCGTTTCTCAGCTTACATCCACACTCTTATTTTATACTCTATATATCTAATTGCTCTACTGCTGTTTTTCAATACGTTTGAAATGAAATCCATTGATATGTTTATCAAAAAAAATTAACTTCTTGCTTAGGAAAAAATTTGATGATTCAGAAATGCGTGGATCTGATAGAGTTTAAAATGATTCGAATAAATTTCTTAGAAGAATGTAGCAGAACGAATGACCTAGTAAAGATATTTTGATGAAATTCGTTTTCTTTTACCTGTTGTGATTGACGTTCATTTCGAATTTGTTGAACAAATCGACTAATTGGTTTTAATTCAGAACATGTCGATAATTTTAATCGTAATTTAATCGGATATGGTAACGCAGGAGAAACGGTTGATATTACTGATGTGTCAGTGATCTGTATAACAACATCCGATGTATTTGGAATGACTTTGTCTAATTCAGATGGCAATATTGGTGACTGATTAGACTGTTTGAGTGGATCGAATGTATCAAGAGCAGATAATTTATAAGCAACATTGAGATCAATTAAATTTTGATTGATTTCTTCTCGTTTTAATGACCTCGATTCATCACCACTCGGTGTTAGTTGTCTCGGAAGAGGAAACGCATCTGGATAAGGAAAATGCACTTGATCAAGCGGAGTTGAATCTGATGACTCGTTGGAAGTAAAAGATTTTGGTGATATTGGAGTTGAGACTGGTGTGACTGGTAATGATTTTGTTGAGTTATTAATAGTTGAAGATAAATTTAAAGGAGATAGTAGTAGTGGTAGGCTATTTTTTAAAGTAGAGGATACACAATCAGATGGTACCATCTCTAGTTCTAATGGGAAAAATAAATCTATAATGCAAAAAGAAGTGTAAGGTTTTGACGCATTAAGTTCTTTAGAATATAGAGAATTTTTCTAGTGTAAAGTATTAAATGTTTATGGGCAAATTCTTTAAAAGGAAGAAAAAAAAATGTTTTTGAGTTTGTCATTAGATAATAGTTGTTTTAAAAAAACAAAAATGTTCGTAAAAAGATAACAAAGAAGATAAAAAAGGTTTTCAAATGGACATTCTCTAAGATCGAATGACAACCAAACAATAAGTAGATGGCGTTATTTAATAATTAAAATTACACTTTTCTAGTTAAATTTTACTAATAATAGATCAAAAGATTGGATATAATATATTCGTTATGTTGTTTGAGTTTAAACATTGAACTCATTCTATCCTATGTACATACTTTGCGAGTTTATACTCTTGGTCTTAAACAGGTATGCGGCAGCACACAGCTAAACGATTCATAAGAGTTGAATTAAACTAGTGATGACCGTTTTGTTCCACATAAGCGCACTCTTTTTATGTGAGCTGGATTATTGAATACCCCGTTTGTCCTATCTAAGTGTTTCGTGAGAACTTTATTTCAGGTCGTGTAAGCTGAGTTGTACCCACGAGCTGAAAATGGTCTGCCACAAGTCTATCGATAAGAATAAAGTCAGATTTTCGAAAATTCCAACTCATACGAAAAGAGTTGGATGGAGATACCAGTGCCGTTACTCGATATTAAGGTGTTACATAGCTAGTCTAAGGTAATGCTTGCATTGTAATTTTCCAGATGTGTTTATCCTTCGTTTATTAATGGCCTTAAAGTTTTTAAACAGTTCATGAGATTTTACGAAAATTTGTAAATATTTGTTTGGTGAGAATTATTAGATCCAAATCGATTATAATCGACAGATATTTGTCTATTCTTTTTTGTTTGTTTGTTTGTTTGTTTAGTGAAACATGATCCAATAAAAGTGTTGAGATATAGAGGTAGAAATTTGAACTTCCTTCTTTTACAGACATGATAGACATCTTAACAACGGCCTCTGTCCTCCATCAAGGACGAATACTTTAGTAGTGTCGCCATTTTCTCATAGACCATCACATGCATATAACGGCTGTGTTGTCTTGGCCCACCCATCCAATAGCAAGCTGACTACGTTGTCGACATACACAAAAAGCCTTTATGGTTCGTATGCGGTTAGTCAGTATGTATGGGAAGCTTAAGTGATTAAGCGAGAAGAACACTAAGTCAGACCGGCCTTCTGTGCAGAGCTACAACTATTACTAGTTGCAGGAAAAACATCGGGCTTCTGGAACTGCCCTTGGACAGCACCCCATACTGGAAGGTAGCCGCAAGGCAGGGATATTCTTCTTCTTCTTTTTTAAAATACATATATATTGATTTTTTTTCACATTTCTTTTTTCTTAAACTGAGGGTGTGGGCGTGAGTGTCGGTGTGCGAGTGTGTGAGTGTGGAGTGTGGATGTGGGTAAAAACAAGTCCCAGACTGGCATCCACGCCCACACTCCACACCTTCCATTAAGCAAAACATCTAGAGGTCTGTTTTCAACAGATAAACATTGTTAATTATCTACTACATTTGTATGTCAAAAAACATGTATTCCACTGTTTATACATTCTGGTGCTAGAAAATCATAAGACTTTTTCTTGTCATTACTTACCATTAAAAAGAAAGACAACAACAATGGAAAAAATGTCTTCTTCTGGTCATATTACAGGTTTCAGAAAGAGGAAATTGAAAGCATTGACCAATGAGGTTTTACTTGATTTATTCAAATTTTTTCAACGATATTCAACTACTTCATACTTTTCATAGTTTCAATTCAGACTTTGATAATCTTCTCGTTATTCATTTCCAATCTAATCGTCTTGATGGGATGTGAGTGAGGATCTTTCGTTGTGCCGTCATCCATACATTTTCGATGCTCCTTCAGGATACTTTAAGAATAACATGTCATACGACGAATCGTCCTAGAACCCGTAATATAAATGAAAGCATATCTGCGTTAAAGTTTTCTCTCTGTTTGCAAAATTTATTCAGTAGTATATTGAATCATGGCAGATGTCAGTAAATAATGCAACAAAGTGAGACTTCTTTCAATTTCAATGATAAAGTACATCAATGTCTGAGCAACATTTTTCCTAGCACAGAGGATTCAAACATGTAGATGCATTTAAGATCACGTTAAAATAACAATAATAATTGGTAACGACAATAAATATGACTTAAAGCCATATTCAATACAACGTTCTTTTTCAAATATTTCAAAATTGTGAAACTTGTATGTTTCAATGCAGTATGTTCATTTTGAACAGGAAATGGAAATAAAATTATGTGGAAACAAAAACTTTAGAGAACATGAAATAAAACTATAGAAAGTTTACGGATATCGTTTGTATTACTCAATAGTTATTCCGATTCTTTTTTTGCTGATGGACTTTTGAAACATTATATTTGAAGAATTATTTACGAATAAAATTCGAAATTATTTATAGGTTTTATTTGTTTATTTATTCGTAAATAAATGTGTATTTTTCTCTGAATTTAACAAATCAGTAACAGCATTTTGTCCAAGTATATAAGCTAATTTTAATGCATCTTCTTTGGCATATAATGCCGTACATGTACTTGGTTCATCAGTTTGATTTGTTTGAGTTGTTTTTTTCTTATCTATAACATGTGGTAATGTTAAAAATTGTACAATTTCTGGATAGAAATGTCCATATGATGGTAAATCATAGAATAATATATGACGTATACCTTTTATACGATAACGATGATAAAAATGAAAACGTTCGGTCATTAATAAAAATCGTACTTGACGATGATAGAATATATTTCTTGCTAATAGAATTTGTTTTTTTGTTGAATATTCATTTAATGTTAAATAATTAAATTGTTTATGTTTTTCTGTACGCATATAATTTTTTAAACGTACAAAATCAAAATATGATGATAAATAAATTAATGTATGCTCATATGCTGATGTATCAAAACGTGGTAGAATATGTTCAATAAAATAATTAAATCTTAATGTTGGATCACATACTGGTATACGTTGAAATAATTGATTAAATGTTGATAATGGACGTATATAACCATTTAATGGAAATGATGGTTGAATTAAACATTGTCCAGAATAATTTGTTGAAAAACGATGAAATAAACTAAGAAATAATGGACTTGTAAATGATGATAAAACAATTAATTGACGATAGAAACGTGCCCAACCATTTAATGACCAATGACGTATACGAGAAAAATCTGTTGATGATGTTGCTTGTTGTGGAATACAATTTAAATTTTCTAATATATAAAATAAATGATCAAGATTTTGCATTGATAATATATCTAATTGATCAATATAAATACATTCAATTGATGATAAAAAATCAGCTATTGAAGATGCTTTATTTTCATTTGTATTTTCATTATCACTATCAGATTCAGAACTGTCCGATGATTGTTTATGTTTACGTTTACGATGACGTTTTTCAAGTAATGTTCGAAGACCAACAGGTGATACGATAAGAAAATCAGATTTGTATACAGATTGAAAAAATTTTAATGATTTACGTGTTACAGATATACCTTAAATAAAAAAAAAAATTTAAAGTACGATATGAAGTAGAGAAAAAAAAGAATTATTTAAGAATACTTTCATTAAACATCTTACATGTAAAGACCGTTGGGTTCAAAATTTTCGGATCCGAATCCGAACGAGTTCAGGACGAACCCGATGGACTTCTAGTTACATGAGATACTTTTTTATAGTCCTGAACAAAAATCTTTACTCCTTCGAATCTCAGTAAATATAATGGCTAGAGATTTGTAAATTTCTGTATGTATTATTCGATGAGGTATGTGGATCAGCGGCGCTATTCGAACTTCGTTTGCTTTCGTGGAAACTGATTTATGATGGATAGAATCTATTTTTTGCTGTGAACTTGATAAATTTAAAAGATTGCCTACTAATATTTATCTTGTTTCTTTTCAAATACATGATTAATTTTCAATATTTTTACAAGAAACTTGAGCTTAATATATAGTTTTTCCTTCGTTCAAAAGATAAGTTCATTTGTTGGGATGTTGATGTCTATAGATTCTTGACACTAATCAGATGACCATCCGTATGTCATATCCTTCGAGTGTAACATTTTATTTTGAAACTTGCAGAAAATAATGAAGAAAGTTTTTCTAAAATTTTCGAATCAATTTATTGAACTATCACTAAGTTATGGGTTTTAAAAGGACAATAGATAAGTTTTTGCACACCGACCAATTAGAGTAAAATGACTACAATTCTTGAAGAATCTCCACCAAATCTTTATAAAAGATAGTTGAGATGTAGAGATGCATAATGATAGATAAGTCAATTCAAAATGCCTCCTTCTCTTCCAGAGTTATGAAGCTCAAAGCAAAAATACCCACCATTTTTATTTTAGTTATAACTATCACTGCGATGCAGATCTCTACCTGTTATATATATCTCTCACACATATCTCAATTTATTAAACAAATAAAACAAGATGTAATAATTACCTAATCGAAAATGATCATCAATATTTCCAGCAAATATTTCATTATATTCATTAGATGTACGTTGAAATTTACTATCATTATTTTCATTATCAATTTCTTCACCACCATATTCTTCTTTGAATCTTTTTCGATGACTCATTTGTATTTGATCATTTTTTTCACTATCATCCATAGTTAATAAAAGATTTTCAAAACAATTTATAATACGTCGAACACTCTCACGAAATGGTACAATAATAAGAACTTTAGGTCTTGTAAAACCTTGATCATGATAATCAAGATCAGGATTTTCTTTTAATTTTGCATTATGTGATAATATACGTGAACGTGTTTTTAATACATGATTTATTAAATGTAAACAAATAACAAATCGTAATTGTTCACCAACATCATTTATATTAGTTCGATTTGGATAATAAACATCATAATAATTATGAATTAATGAAAAAAAATCAAATTGTAATGGTGTTAATTGACTACCTGATGTTTCAATATTTGATATAAGTGATTTTTTTATTGAAAATGAATCAATTGTAGATGTTGGACATGGTAATATAGGTGGTTTATCTGATGAAGTTGATGAGAATTGACAAGAACCAAGTGATGATGAAAATAGATCTATTTTATTTTTCGATGATTTATTATTGATTTGTTTTTCATCTATTAATGTTTCAAAATGTGAAAGAAATGGATCATATTTAGTTATATTCTCCATTAAAATAGAAATCTAAAACAAAATAGACTTGTAAAAGTTGATTTCATATACATCGATCTAGTATACATGAGATTTTATTAATTCGAAAGAAAATATATACAAATAGAAAAGCTTTCAAAGAATACGATAATCTAAATTTAAAACTAATAAAATTTTCAAACAAAACAATGAAAATAATATTTTATCTAGCGTGAAGGTGCTCCTCCGAACATCAGTTTAATCTTTCAAAAGTTTATAGTTATTATACCATGTACCATGTATTTGTGCTTATAAAGACAGATATTTGTCCTATCGGAATTTTAAATCGTCTTTTCGAAAGAAATAAGTTAGATAAAACATTGAATGAAAGCAATGCCTAGAAAATAGAGCGATATGATGTATTTGATAAAAATATTATTTAAGTATTTAGTACAATTCTTAAAATGAAAATCCTAATTTCTTCTACATTTATGTTTATTTAACTAATGTTTTTGCTTGAAAGAGATTTAAAAATAAAACGATTTCTTCTATAATTATTAATTGACATTATTCCATTGACATGTAATAACGATCGACAACAGGGAAAAAAAGCAAAATATATAAAATTAATTATGCAATTTTAAGAATTCAAGATTGAATCAAATACATCAATTATAATATTAAAATAGAAAGTAATGTAAGATTAGAAATCTCGGTTGCAATATGTGTTTTGAAGTCCATTAGAAGAGGGTCATATCGACTCATTTTTGGACATTACCCGCTAAGTAAAAAAAAAATTCGTAAGAAAGGAAAGATCGTCCCCAGTGTCTCTCCCTCTCTGAATCTGTTACCGTAAGTAATAGTTGGATTTTGAAATTTATGAATTTAAGCTATCAAAAATTTGGAAAAACCTCTTCTGTTTGTGTTTTAATCAATTTATTTGATAGCAACTATAATTGTAAGAAAAGATAGGTTTTTCTAGATCTAGGACAATTATAATACGAAAGACGAAGAGATATTAATCTAGATATAACTATTATTTAAGAACATAGCGATTCTATTTGAAAACATAATGAAATATATATATATATTTGAAAAATTCAATCAGAAAAACTAAATTTACTTGTCTTTTGCTTAGTTTTATTTCACAACGAACTATCGTTCTGAAAAGTCTTTCTTCCAATCAGATTTTTCATATGTTTCAACCAATCAAAATCTTTAGATCAAAAGCGTCATCTTCTTATCTAGAATTATAAAATAAATATATTAAAATCTTTAATTCATTATTTTTTTTTCAATAGAAATTTCATTAAATCAATATTGTATTCATAGGATCGTTCTTGAATAAAATTTCAATTTTGATTGGTGTATAACTATGAGATAAAGACATGACTGTGTCTTCTGTATATATAAACCCTCCTCTTTTCTTTTTTGAAACAAGAAATAATCGAACACATAATTATTATTTTTCATATTGGTGTTTGATTTTTTTTTTGTTTTTTAATTTTCAATAGAACTATTCAATATGTTAGCAGTTGCATCACTTAAACGTTCACTTGAATTTGATCCAGTTGAACAAGGTGTAAAACGTAAACGAGCAGAAATAAAATTATCACCAACAACATTTACAATAAATAATACTTCATCATCATCTCCTACAAAACAACAATCTATTTTTACTAAATCATCAACAAATAAAAATTCATCATTAAAATCATGTTCACTTACTGCTTTAACATCATCGTCAACTGATGATACTCCTATGTTTACATATACTCAAACTACTCAAATGTGTGCTCGTCTTTTACGTGAACAAGATAAATTAATACGTGAACAGTATGAACAATTATTAACAACAAAACTTAATGAACAATATGAACAATTTGTAAGATATTCACATGATAGTGTCTATAAAAATTCATCAAAACAACAACTTTTTCATTTTGATCAACAGCAAGAAACAGAGAATATGTCAATGACTGCTTTTTCATATGTTTCATAAAAATTTCTTTTTGTTCTTTTCTTTTTCTCGCGTACATATTATACATACGATATTACATCTCTAATTTAAATGTTTTGCCATATATTATAGTTATTAAAAAAAAATCACGAAAGTATCGAATTAAAATATTCTGAAGACAAAAAACAAAGAATATAAATAGACACTAATTTCGAGCGTTGCTTATTTTATATGGAGTGAGTTAGTCCTTGAAACAGATACTAAATATTGCACGTGAAAACTTTTCACCTTGAGAAATAAGAATATCAAACATCTTTTTAAAGAAACTAAATTATTTTCTTTAACAATTCTTTAGTCCTTCTGTATTAATTCAATTTTTTATTTGTACCAGTTTTCATGTGATCAAGCATACGTTATTACTATTTGACCTTGTTGAATAGCGTACGTGTGAAAATGCATATCCTTGTTTTACACTATATAAATATACTTTTATCAAAGACAATGATATAGACATAGGAAGTCTTATTTTTCCCATTGATGACTAACTTGCATTTTTATAATGAATTTTTGTTTATATATCACTCCGTATGCTTCATATTATTTTAACTAATTGTTATGTAATTCAATTTTTGATTTTAGACTTTATCAGATATCTCGTAGAAAAACTTTTTTTTTTTGTCTGATATATTATTTAATGAATACAAAACCGAAATATAGAAAGTTTTTTCAGAATGTGTTTTCCTACAATAAACTATCTCAAATCTGTATGAATAAATCATATTGTACTCATAATCAGTTTGTTTATTTTGATTACTGCGAAATAAATGAACAGTTCTATATCTGATGAATTAACATGCAATTCTATTTCTATATATAAATATTATTTCAACTCATTTATAAGATATCTCTTCATTTCTATGCATACATATATATATGTAATTAAACTTCTCCATATACGATTGAAACCAACTTAATCGTAACATGTTCATATATATATTGTGTGATTTATTTGATTATAAAATGAATACATATGACAATATCATTAATCAAATTTTTAATTAGAATATTAAGAACATTTCCTAATCCATCTTTGAATTTCTTATTTGTCTGATATTTATATTAAATATATAACCAAGAAAATCTAGATGAATTAGAATACTTAATAGATAAATTATAATTTAAATATTCCTAAAACATCGAACTATAGTTAATATTCTAACGATCTCTTCATTATAAATACCAACGCATTAATCATGTCATTTTATCATATAACGAGTCGAATGACAAGATGATAACAAGTATTACTAATGACTTGTCCAACATGCACGTACTTGTGAAAAATAAATTTTTTGAACCAAGGTTATGATCTTTAACTACTGATTAGATTTGAAATGAGAAAAGAAAAAGAATGAAATTTTTTTTGGTTACATATTGAACATTGTCTGAAAAAAAAATACTTCCTTGAATGAATTCAATTTTGCTAATAGGTACTTTTTTTTTGTGTATGATTCATCTATTTTGCTAATCGAAATAACATCGAGTATGCTTTTTTTTTTCTCGATATCAAACGAGCAACAAGAAGAAAAAAAATCATCACACATACACACCAATAAACATATAAAAAAAATGACGAGAAGAAATAAATGAAACAACAAACAAACAAACAAACGAACCAAAATAGCGGGCAGGAAAACACCAAGAACAAATATACATACACACGCGCATATGCGCGTACACATTAAAGAACTATGAACCCATAATTATGATGAAAATGAGACAGACACATATCTATCATGAATCGGATGTAGTCACCGGTGTTGATGATGCAAAATTATGGGGTTTTGTTGGTGGAAGTATACGATGAAGTTGAACAAATTGTACAAGACCACATGATGATGGTGTTGAAGGTGGAGACGTTGATGGAATAACATGTGAGTGATGATGTGATGGAAAAAAAGGTGTTGATGGAGAAAGAACATATGTTGATGATGATTTTGTATAGAATGGTTGTTGTTGTTGTTGTTGAGAACTATCTATTTTATGATTATTTATCATCGATGATGATGGTGGTAGTGGTGGTGGAGTAGGTGGTGTCGATATCACCATCATCTGTTGTGATGTAGATATAGAGGTTATTGGAGGTGGTGATGGGGATGGTGATGGTAATTGTGGTTCAACTAATGTACGTAACGCTTGATTAACATAACGTGATGAACATGAATATGGATGATCGAGTTCAATTGATATCGATGGTCTATGCTTACCATTTATATTTAATGATAAAGATGGATTTGAATTATTTACATGATAGAATGAATCGTTTAAATGGATTGAACTCGATGATGTTGATGATTTTGATTGATAATGATGAGCTAGTGATGTTGTATGATCATGAACTGTTAAATGTGAATGTAAATGATATGAGTCAGTAAGTGATGGTTGAGACGAGACATACCATAATATGGGTCTAAAGAACAAAACAAACCGAAAAAATTTAATTTAAATAATATACTTACCGTAATTATAATAATACATACTTATCCGTAAAATGTGATTTACTTGTTAATGAAAAATTATGAATTTCATTCATAGAATTATTATTCTCCTGTTCAATATGACGATCATAGAGTAATCTAAATTAAGGTTTTTGAATACAATACACATTCAATCTGATAGAAATAATTAATAAATATACCTTCCACCACGACCTATTCGTACTCGTCGCTTGCCGAGATGACCACGTTCGGAACAAGCGAGAGAATAAAATGATGAAAAACTTGAACGTTGTGATTGAACATGCTGTTGTTGATCTTGGTCAATAGGCTAAAAATTATAAAATATATATTAATATATTATATAAAAATCATATTTTAACACAATATCACATAGAAATTATTATTAACTATTTCTATGTTTGAAAGAAATCTCTAATATATATCTACAAGTATTATCCTTTTCCTAAAAAAAAAACCATTATCAGTTGCTTAAACTTCGAGATAGATCATATCCTTATCTATGTTTTAAATATGAATCATAATGTCAATTAAACTTTTATTGAATCATATTTGATTTTTACAAGACCAGATTTCATAGTTTTCAAGTCTTAGAACCAACAAATCCTCTCCCTGTAATAGAAAATGCTGGATTTTCTATAATGCCGAAGCATATCGAGTCTTCTATTGTTACTAATCTATTTTCATAATTTCTAATTATGAAAGATTTTTTTAGAAAAGCAGTGATTTTGCAGATTTAACAAATGATAGACATATTTTTAATTCGAACACAAGTATGAATTTTCTCCAGCACGAGTACTACAAATATCGTACTCGAGTACAAGTACCGGTCGTTCAAGGCACGAGTGTCGATTCTCTTGAGTAAGAGTATATACTCGTTTAGATCTGCTGCTATTACGCCCGGTGCATAATTTCTCTAAGAGAGATCTTCTATTGCAAGGTTAGGTTTATTTATCAAAAACCTGGCAATTTTTCTATTACTTTAAAGAAAACAATGGTTTGATTAATACAAAACAACTCTTTGTCAAATGAAAAATATTTTGTAAAGTTTATTCATTAAAAAAAAAATTTACCCGAAGATATCTACATCCAATTTTAGGCCGAAATTGCCAAGGATCAATTGATTCTTCATCATCAATACTCGTTCCCACTTCATCTAGTCTATTATTGATATTTTCATTTGTATTTGATAATACAGATGAACCATCTTGCAAAATAACACGACGATTTATGTTATTTTCAAGCTCCTAAAATAATTTATCAATAGAGAAATTTATTGATTTCATTAATTTTTTTTTCGTTTTTACTTCTTTTTGTTGCATTTTTCTTGCTGCTTCAAGAAATTGAGCTTTAAGCAAGATTGCACCACCTTTTGTATTATCTACAAGGGACCATATATCCACAGGTGATAAATTTCGATGATTTTTTCCTTGTTTTATTGTTCCTGATGGAGAATGTTTTAAACGACGTCGATTAGTTTGTTGTTCTGAAGGTGAAGAAACAACATTTGATGATGACAATCGTTCAAATATGGATTGTGGTGAGATTGATGTTGATGTCAATCCCATATTATATACAATAGGTGATGATGGTATTGTTGGTGAAGACAACAATTGTGTAAGTTTATCGGTCTAAAACAAAAAACACAAAAAATTAAAATATATTTTCAAATGAAAATAATCTATTTTAAAAAAACATACATGATTCATTTTTCGATGTGATGTTTTTAATTTTTTAATTTTTCGTTGAAATGGATCATTAGGATCCATTGATAATGATCGTGATTTTATAGATGTTTGTAAAAGATTAGCTAATGTTGATGTTGTTAATGAATTTTTTTTCTGATTTTCAATACGTATTAATTGTGTTAATAATTGTTGATGTTGAATATTTGTTAGATTACTATTACTGTTCATCAATAAAGATGTTTTCAAATGGGAACGAGTATGATGATATTGATCTTGATTTGTCGACAACGATGATATCGATGATTGATTCGTCGATGTTGTTTCATCATCCAATTTCGAATCACATCTGGACAAGCATAGAATAAAAAGGCAGACAACACACAGAGCTCACTAAGCGAGACTCTCCGGTTGCCACCGACGACGGGTGGACAGGCAGCGTACCGTGCTTGAAAAATTGCTAGTGCGCATTCGAGCCATGAGACTTTGGTTGTTTCACGTAGTTTGATCAAATTTGTTAACTTACTATTAAATAACAAATATATTCATTAAAATGATCAATAAAAATCAAAACAACAACAACTTACACGACGGCTTCAAAATTAGAACGTAATTTGAGCATTGATAAATAGGCTTGCTCATCATTTTTTCGATTCTATTTGAAAATATTAGCAAATAATAAATTACATAAGAAAATGAAAATTTAAAATTTCTTTACTTTTCTTGTTGTCATTTTTTCAACACGCCGTCGAAAAGCAACATATGGATGATGCTTTCCTTTTTCTTCTTTGATATCACGTTCTGTTAGTAAACGTGGTTTCAATCGTTTGTCCTAATTATTTTTAATAAAAGAAGAACAAAAAAAAAACACACTGACATATGATATAAAATAATAAAAACACATTAAATAAAACAATGTGTTCAAATCTAGATTAGATATCCTTTTCTTTCTTTTCAAATAAAGATTTTTACTTAAAAAACATGTACCCGTGTTGTTCGTCGTTTATACCAAAAATCATAAACAGTATTTATATGTAAATCATTGATTATTGATGGTGTTGAAGATGCAAACAATGCTCGTGCTTCATCCAACGAGACACGTGTTCGCGTACTTGCATTCTCAAGTTTATCAATAATAGTTTCATATTCAAGATATGTAAGCTCAGGACATAAACTATGAGCTGTTTTATGAAACCAATTATGATCAATTTCATCCATATCATATTCAGGTTCATCGAATTCAAGTTGTAAAGCTAAGAAAATAAAAAATCGCTGAAAAAAAAATAACACAATAGATAATTTTGTCGATATATACGTT